ATAAGCCCTAAGTATGCAGAAAAAGTTTGCATATTAATTTTTTTTGCTTAAAAACCAACTTAACTTATCGTCAACTGAAATAAATAAGTATTGAAATGGTCTGTATAGAATAGACTACCAAGACATGCACTTTATTTATCCAGGTAGCTAGTTGTGCATATATTACTGGTTAGCAAAAAAACTGAAAGTCAAGGTAACTCCTATTACACAAATAAAGTATAAAAAAAAGTTTTGCAGTGGCATTTGCAAGTTATTGTTAATGGATCCAAGCATATTTAGCATATTTAGCATATTTAGACATGTATACTACAATACTACTATCTAATCATTTTTGAAATTATTAGGCATTTTAAGGTATAACAAATTGATGGTTAAAATTTCTCAACTGGTAAATGGGCAGTTTTAAAGATATTGCTCTTTTAAATTTTAAATTTTTAGTTTTATTGTGCACTTCAATTCCTTTGTGCCTAGTCGATTTAATATTTGTGTATTTTACATAAGACCATAAGAAATTCCTTCAATTCCTTTTTTCTAGTCGATTTAATATTTGTGTATTTTACATAAGACCATAAGAAAAGTCATAAAGTGTGAAAACTGTTTAAAATTGTGTTTCATGAATTAAACATCAGCAATGTTTTTGAATTCCATAAACAAAACATCAGCAGAGTTAATTTAAATAGAACCATTAGTGTATTGAATTAGTTTACACAAAAAAGTATTAATGCAAATTTCTGTATAAAAGGAGCTAGGGCTTAGCAAAACCTGGAAAATTTCAAAAACCAGTTTTGGGTTTTTATAAATTGTAAAACCAGATAACCAGTTTTATACCAGTTTTACATTATATAAGCGAATTTTTATTATTGCTGCATAAATTAAAAGTAACCTACAAGATTGATATACGGGAATTAAATCTATATAAAAAAAAGTTTTTCAACCTAATAATTTCATATTTATTAATTTAGTTTGAATTTAATGAACTTGGATCATTTTTTCTTTTAAGTTTTTTTTTTCTTTTCTAATCCTTCTTTTTTTGCATCAACTCAATAACCTTTTTTTTAATATTATTCATATCATTTTAGTTCACAATAATAGTTGTGATACATAATAACATTAAAATCGTTTAAAAAAATAAACAGTTCAGCGTACTAACAATGTAAAGCTAGGTTTCAGAAAGAAGATCATAAGGATTTTATCATCAAAACATTTAAAGTTAAACATATTTATTTATATTATATAGATATATTGAAGATTTAACATAATGCAACATACAAACATTTTAACATATAATATGCTGAAGATTTAACAAATACATTTTACATACGTTTTTAGTAGAACTTAAGAATGCTATCCATAGAGAAAACAATTTTAAAAATAAGTTTTAAAAACAGGAAGGATTAAAAAAGGATCAAAACTTGATAATACTATTTATTTCACAGATGAGGTGCAAGATTTTGAGATTAAACAATCTCAAATTAAAATACTTAAACAACAAGAACAAAAAATTAAAAACAAACAAAATGAAACAACAAACAAAAATATCAAAAAGTTAACAAAATAATTTAAGTTAGTTTTACTTGACATTCCTGGATTCTTTTGATTATTTAAAGTATTTTAAAATTTAAACATTGTTGAAAGATTCTGTCAGTAATCTATTAATAATTGGTAAAAAAAATTAAAATAAATAAAATTAAATGCAATATCAAAGGGCTTTTTTTTAAACTATATATTTTCATAAAATTTGTGCTTTCAACACTACTTGTTAGCTTTTCAAAACAAGACATCTTTAAACTATTTATCTATTTAGGTTTTCAGTTTCAAAAAAACTGAACAAAAAAACGGTTAACCGGTTTCTACTGGTTGCCAAGCCCTAAAGGGAGCCGAATTGCTAGCTGGAGAATAAATTCTTGCGGAAAATTATCTCAACTTTGTTGGAAAGATTGTTTCATTATCATCAAGATCTTTAATATTATTAAAGATCATCAAATATAACATAAAATATATAGTCATACTTGTAAGAAACACTCATTATCCATTTTATTATTTAAAATGTTATCAAAAACTCACTGAAAAAGAATGAAGTAATCTGATGCCAATAATAAAAAATAATCTGGTTCATTAACTAAATTTTGTACTCAAGTAAAAGTACTGTTACTTGAATGAAATTTTACTCAAGTACAAGTAATTCTTACTGGTCGAAAAATTTACTCAAGTAAAAGTAAAAAGTAGCTCATTAAAAATGTACTCAGAGTAAAAGTTACTGTGTAACTTTTTTAATAGCTTTTAAAATTTTCTTTTAAAGCTATTTTTAAAACTTTTTTTTCAAAACTAAAATAAGAAAAATTAAAATTATTAAGGTGTCATCCAAAAATTAAGTTATGCTACTTTTGACTTTTAATACCATAAAAACATTACTTTAAATTTTCTTATCTGCTTTTAGTTAACTAATTAATACATTTCAATATGCGTAAATTTTAATTGTTATTAATCAATATTACTTTAAAAGTCATTATTTGTACAAATAATTAGCCTTTAGTAAAAATATTGTTTATACGTAAAAAAAATTGTAAAATTTTAATATTTATGTATTGACATAGAGCCGTGGATGATTAAAAGTTCTAGTTAGAAGGAGTGGATAACTAGGGAGAAGGTTTAACTCTCCTTTTTTTTTTTTGGATTTTGATATTTTATTTTAAAGCAGAGTTGTTAGTCCTTGAGACTCAAGGAAAATTTAAGAATTATTATTAATTACAGAACCTGTTTTGTTTCTTATCTATATTATTGATCTTCCTGACAACCCTACATTTATAGTAGCTCTTTTTGTTGATGACTCAAGTTTTAACTCCTGTTTTGACAATAAGTCTTCTGTAACAGATTGAGACTCACATATTTTGGCTTAAAAATTTTACCTACAACAAAACTCAGTTATTTACTGCAAACAACTACCACAATACTGTCGACATTCCTATATAATAAGTAGAAACCCCCTTACTAAATCCTCTTTTTTACATCTTCTTGGATTATTGTTTACTACTGACCTTTCATGTAAATAAAATATATAATCGATTGCTAAATTAGCATCCCTTTATCATTGTCGTCATTTTCTTACCCTTGATTCCATTCTCTACCTTTATAAAAATCTTTTTGTTCCTGTATGGAATGTTGTTGTCATATTTGGGCTGGTTCTTCTTATAATGCCCTTTTTCTTCTAAACAAGCTCTATCTGCAAGGCTTGAGCCTCTTTTCCATTGTCGTAAAGTTGCATCTCTTTCTCTTTTCTACCAATTCTATCATGGTTGCTGCTCAAAAGAGTTATTACCTCTAGTCCCATTAACAAAAACTCATTCTCACTTGACTCTTTATTATGATACGTCTCATTCATTAGTTTTTATAATTTTATTAAATATAGTAAATGTAAATAAACAATGTTTATTGTGTCAATATACACTGGAATCAGTTAAGATACAATTGAGGAAGATAAAATTATTAAAGAAGTTTTTATACAGGACTGCTTTAACTGTGTCAACCTTTAAGCATGCCAAAACAAAAATAAATTCAGTAAATTTCAGTATTTATTGTCCTATTTAAATCAGAAATTAAAATATGAATCAAGATATAGCCATTAAAGTTAAATTTAGTAGCTTAAACAATGAATTTTTGAATATTTCCCCAAAAAAACGAATCCCTATGTTTTTTTTCCAAAAAAAAATAATGGAATGGGATCATTTTAATCATTAGATATCATTTCTTGGTTCTCAGTGTTTAAAATCTTTATAGTCAGTTAATTATAAAAAAACTTTTTAAAAAAAGGTTTTTTGTGAAAAAAGCAAGTATAGCCTTTCCTCTATTCAAACCAAGTATTTAATTATCTTTTCTTGAAGAATTGTACTATGGATTTTTGTGTAAAAATAATATATATTATGTTTTTTTTCCTTTAGTAATTTTTTTTTTTTTTTTTTTGATTTTTAGCTCATTTTTTTATGTTTTCTTGTTTTAATTCAGTGCTATTATACAGCAAGTTTTAAATGCTGTTTTAAATTTTTAAAAAATCATCAGTTTTTTCAGCATAAAAAATGCAATAACTATATGCAATAACAATAACGCATCCATTTAACCTCTAAAGTTAAAAGACCCCTTATTTTTTGAATATTTTTAAGCTATATAAAATTATGTTAGTCATATATAAATATGCAGATAAAAAAATCATGTAGAATGGTTATTTCCATAAAATTATTTATTTTTAAACTTTAAAACACCACATTGAAGTTAATTTCAATGACAAATTAATACATATTATACATATATGAAGTTAATTTCGATGTCCTTAGAATCATTAATTTTCCTACCAAAAAGAATTATGTAATTGGCATGTAACATGAAATTTTTATATTGATTAAATATTATGAATATTAGGTTGTTATATATAAAAACCTTGTATTTAATCAATATAAAAATTTCATATCACATGACAATTACATAATACTTTTTGGGAGCAGAATTAATGGCACTAATGACATTTTAACAATTATGTAAACGGTATCTCAGAGGAGTTTAAAAATTATTGAATTTTTAGATTGGTTCTTGTATAATAGAATAAATTAAAAAGTTTAAAAATGATGGGGAAAAACAACATAAGCAAAAACAGCTATCACTTGACAATCTAAAAAGCTGCATTAAGAGTGCTTGAAAACAAGAAAAAAAAAAGTTTTTTCAACGTTTTTTTTGTTTCTATTTAATATTTTGAATGGTAAAAAACGTGTTTTAATTATACATAATAATTGTAAAACGTGTATAAATTAAAAATGAATGGTTTATGCAACAAAAGTATAAATCCTATCATTATGCACTCAGGGCATGAGCACTTAAGTATAAAGATAACTTGTTAGTAATAAATTGGCATAATATAAACTGAAACATGTTTATTATTCTTCAAAATCAACTTTTTTTCTAACATAGTATACTATATGAAAAAATTCAAAAGAAAAATATTTTTTAACACTTACAGATATTTTTTGCTTTTGATTTTGCTTTTGAAGACTATCAGAACTATTACTAGAAAATGAAGATTTGCTGCTGATTTTCTTAAGACTTCTTGTCATACGCTCTAATGGAATTTTAAACTGAAGACTTTCCTTACGTTTTTTGTAAAATAACAAAATAACTCCAAGTAGTATTGCTAACATCACGCCAAGTATTGCTCCTAGCACCAAAGGTAGATTTTTCGTAGACATTTTTATTATTCTAAACTTTCTTTACAACAAAATTTAACATAATTAATGTTCAGTTAGTTGAATATGTAGTTTAGCGTTTAATATAATTAATATAAAACATTTTTAGAATATTTATTTCAACACGAAACAATATATTACGGCAAGTATTGTTTTTATTTACATTAAAGGTAATAAACTTAGACATTTCGAGCCGGATCATTGTCATTTTTACGGAATGTTAAAATTTGACTTGAAAAGGAAGATAAATTCTTTTGTTACTACATTATTGCTATTTCTAACGCTTCGCTACAATTCAAACAGAAAAGTAATTTGGCGGTTAGATCTAATTGATAGTGAATTTTTTTTCAGAAAATCTTTCTTCAAATATTTGTTTCCCTCTTATAACAACTTTATTCAATTTACATTTAAAAAATAAATACTATTTATAGAATAAAATGTTTTTAAAATTGCCAACAATCTACTCAAGGCAAGTTTGTCTAAGTGCGTCTAAGAACTGATCAATTTGAAAATCAAAACAACTTAAAATATTTTTTGCAAAAATGTATTCCTCTTGTAACACTACGGAATCTATAATTATACACATGTAATCTAATTAAAAATTCGCAGTTCTTTATCACTTTCTTAAAATGGCGACCAGGGCGAAAAGTAATGTACCTTAACTACATTTATAATTATGATTCATTACTTTTCTAACTATTATTATTTTTTTTTTTTTTTGTAATTATATTTTTTTATTACAATCAATCATTTATATTGGTTATACAACAATTGCTAGTTTATTATTTATAATTAACGATGGATTAGACGTCATAATTAGGTTGTAGTTAAAGATAATTAATGATAACTCTCGGTTAGTTGTAAGCATTGTTACATATAACTAGGAACTGTATTGGTTTATTAACTTAAATTTTATAAACATAATTTTATGTTTCAAATTTCAATATTCAAAAAATAATAATAATAAGTAATGGTCTTAGATAAAACAATATATGGATTTGGATTGATTTTATTGTTTTTTTAAAAATATTCTTTTTATTATTAATTTTTTTTAAGAATAATTTTTATTTTTACAAACATTTTATTAATAAATAAGGTAACATACAAAAAATAGAAAAAAAACAAAATTGTTTGAAGTTTTTTTTCAAATTTTGACATTTAATAGAACTTTTCATATTTTATGAGGGTTTTGATACTTAGAACGGTGATGAATTAGGATGAGATTTTAAACTAATAAAAAGTTCATATTTTCAATTATAAAAACTTCTTCTAAATTAACTTCTAAAGTTTTTAAAAAAATTGAATAAGAAGAAAAGATTTTTCATTGCATTATTTTATAGTTATTGATGCATGGCCTATTTTGACATAACAATTTTTTACGACTCAAAAATATTTTAAATACAATTTAAATAAAATATTTTAAATACAATATTTAAAATGATAACTAAGTGTTGTTGCCTAGAAGAAATTGTTTTGTTAAAAACTACAAGTAAAATTTTTTATAAAACAAAATCAAATCGATTTTTATTAATTTTTTTTTATAAATAACTAAAAAACTTTGAAGGGTTCTGTTAATATTTGATTTTACTTTTTGTTACTAGAATGACGCATTGTGCGAGGATTTTTTTTTTAAACGTGCAAATGGTATAAGATATAGATGAAACCTTCTTTTTTTGTGTGTGTCGCGTTAAACTATTTATTTACCGTTGTTATTCAACACAATATAAATATATGAAAACTTTGAAACTTTATTTTAATATAATCCAAACTTTTATTAACAGCTCATGAATAAAACTAGTGCATTTGTTAAAAAAAACACATGCTAAGCTTTTAATTTTTTTTTTCTCCGTGTGTGCAGTCTCGTTAATGCGCAGTTTTAAAATAAATGTTTTTTTTTAATTTCATCTAGTAGCATATAAATTCTATTAGTTTGCTAATATTAAAAACTTTTGTACAAAATTTAAAACAAATAAAAAAAGAGAATTTAATAGGCTTGAAAATCTTTCTTTTAACAGCGACCGCGTTTGTGAAATTTACCGTTTTAGAGACAAAAAAAATTGCTTAAAATATTTAAAACAAGTATTTTTATTTTAAAAATGTTATTAGTCTTTTGGATAAAAGTAAATAAGGCTGCATCCGCGTAAATGTTACTTATGTCGTGTGGTTTTTTCTTATAAATATTATAAGGATCAATTTATTCAATTTTAAATGATGATAGATGAGTACATTGATCATAAGATTATCTTACTCAAATTTACTTGCGTCAATTTAAAAAAAAATAAACAATTTTAACTTTGCTCAGATAAATACTACTTATGTTAAGTATCCTTAAAAGCGTACAACTTTTTTTCACAGTAAAGTAAAAAAAAAGTAAAAACTTTCTCCATTAAAAAAATATAACAAGCTATTATCATGTGAGAACATTTAGGTTGTGTTTTATCTGACATTTTAATGTTGTATTAATTTAACTTTCGATTTTTAAAATATTTTACTGATCTTATTGTTTACATTAATAAATTATTGTTTATGTTTTAATCTTAAAAAGTGTTTGCATTTGGATAACATATATTTTGGATACATACATTAACATAAATTAACATATATTAATACCCACATTAATTGTTAAATTCTTACATATATCAGAAACACAGATGGGACCTTATAATACTTATTTACTGCTATGCCAATTTTGTATAATACTTTTGCACCGTATTTTTGTTTTATATTTTAGTACTTCATTTTTGTCCTAATTTTGGTACTATATTTTTGTACTTTATGTATTTTTTTTTCTACATTTTTTTACTACATTTTGATTTAGTTTGACTAAAAGAACTAATTATTAATTTTTTAGTAGTTTAATATTTGAGGAGCCCATTTGCAAAACGCGCTTAGTCCTTAGTAAACTCATTTTGCGAAAACAACGAAAGTAAATAAAACTCATTTTGCAAAAGCAACGATAAACTTAAACTACTCATAGTTGCTCATCAACAGAATTTGATGTTTTCTTTGCCTTTTTTTGATGTTTTCTTTGCCTTTTTTTGATGTTTTCTTTGCCTTTTTTTTTGATGTTTTCTTGGCCTTTTTTTGATGTTTTTATTGCCTTTTTTTTATGTTTTCTTTGCCTTTTTTTGATGTTTTTTTGGCCTTTTTTTGATGTTTTCTTGGCCTTTTTTTGATGTTTTTATTGCCTTTTTTGATGTTTTCTTTGCCTTTTTTTGATGTTTTCTTGGCCTTTTTTTGATGTTTTCTTGGCCTTTTTTTGATGTTTTTATTGCCTTTTTTTGATGTTTTCTTTGCCTTTTTTTGATGTTTTCTTGGCCTTTTTTTAAGACAAAAAAAATTTTAATTGGTCTAACATTTAAATAGATGAGGCATTTCAGTATATAGAATGTGGAAATGAAATTATCTCTTAGCGCGTTTTGCAAATGCTCCTCATTTAAACTCTTAAGAGTTTAATAGATAAATACCAATTGGGATTTATCTAATAAACAAGTAAACTTATCTAATAAACAAGTAAACTTATCTAATAAACTAGTACACTCTTAAGAGTTTAAGAGATAATTACCAATTGGTATTTATCTCTTTATGATACCAAGATATCATAAAGAGACGTGGAAAATCAACAGTTTATGATATTTAGATATCATAAAGAGAAGTGGAAAATCAACAGTTTATGATATCTAGATATTATAAAGAGACGCGGGAAATCAACAGTTTATGATATCTAGATATCATAAAGAAACGCGGGAAATCAACAGTTTATGATATCTAGATATCATAAAGAGACGTGGAAAATCAACAGTTTATGGTCATCTAGCTATGGTTTCTAATATAAAAATTTCAATATCCAAAAAATGACTTTTTATGCAGGGATCGCGGCTTTTGAGTGTTTGTGATAATAACATGATAAATCATAATGAAGTGTCATTATGATTAGTATCAATAAATTGAGAAGAAAGGTGTCACTCACACAGGATTCTGATCAAAGGAGTGACACAAGACAATAATAATAAATTGTTGGTAAAAGTAAAAGTTTTTCTCAAAAAAATTTATAATGAAAAAAATATTAATAAAATTATAGTACGTATAATATATAAATATAAACATAAAACATTAGGTTGACGAAGTATGTTTTAAATTATTTTATTTAAAATTGTTTCAAATAATTATACAGACTCCTAATTATTGCAGCTTTTTTAATTGTTAGAAATTGTTGTACTGCAAAGATGAAATAGTGCGTTAAGGAGATTTCTCGATTTTTTCAAACGAGGTTGGTTCCTTTTTATATGCGCAAACATACCTTATAAGCTATTGCATTTTGGAAATAAACGGTAAATTTTAGCGAGATTGATAAAACGAAACGCGACAATATATCCTTTTCGAAGACATTCGCTTACTTTTAAATTTACCGTTGCCATCTCGTTATAACGATAAATAAAAAATCTATTTTCGTTTCATTTCGAGACGAAACGAGATTTTATCAATAAAACTTTAATTCTTTTGTTGTACCAAATTTAATCAAAAACTTTCATTAAATTTAAAGTGCAAAATAGATATTGAGCCAAAATGGGACACTTATATATTTATGAATAGATTGAAAACAGACAAGTGATGCAATGCCTTAAAATGGTGAAAAAACAAAAAGGATTTATTTCCTTTACGTTGGTTGTGCATACCCAGTTCCTCTACAACCTCTGAATATTTTTTAAAAACACTTTTTTAAGTTTTTACCGCTGAAAGTTAACAAATTGTTCGTAATTTCTTAATAAGATAGTTTGTTTTACATTAAATGCTTGTTAAACACTTTTTTAACTTGACATTTAAGTAACTGTAATGTTAAAAAAGTGACATGAAAAATGGCCTCTGAGATCCGACCTTCCTGAGGATCATTCAATAAAAGGTGCAACGGCTACTGATGCTGATTGGATCCAATTTAATGTTATAAAGTAAACATAAAAATTCATAACTCCTAACTTCTTGTAGTGTTAGTATATTTCCCAATTCGATACGAGCATAAAAAGCATAATAAAACGTTGATTTTTTTATAAAATAAAGTTTACAAAAATCGAATTAAGATGATCCTTTATGAAAATTTCAAAAAATTCAGAGAAATTTAGAGAATAAACGTATTTCGTTTCTTCTTGGTTTTTTTGGAACTTTTCGCCATTTAACAA